TTATTCTAAAACACTCATGGCCAGCACAGATTCTTGGCCACTAGCGCTGTTGCCTGATACTGTAGCTCTCAGGCACAGGACTTGGTCCTGAACTGGGCCACCTTCTCTGTGGAGTCTAGCGTGCTCTCTCGTGCTCACGCGCAACACGAGCAGTCATGTGTTCTTAGTCCCTTGCTCCAGAGTGCTGTGATCCTCACCAGGACAAGAAGCTTTCAGATAAAGGCCGGATGGATGGCACATTCTCATCTTTGTAGCTTTGTGTAAACACTAGCTTGTAAACAATTCTGGAAACACAGTAATAACAGCTGTGCTTATTCATAATATCAACTGGCTGTATATTTTTTTTTCCAGTGTTTGGTAGTCATTTTGCATCCTTTAAAACAATTTACAATGAGTTGTCAAAGCAGATTTGAGACAGGGGCCAAGGGTAATTAATCCCTGCACTGCGCTGACGGCCACTAAAGTAATTTTGTAACAGTGAAAGATGGACTTCTTACTTTTGTGTGCTAGCAAAGAGGACCTTTTCTATTACTCACAGCATTGATAGAATAATCTGTACTGTAAATAACAGTTTCTGCTTGTCTCAAGCAGACGGTTCACCTCTAGACAGACAAATCCGGCCCTTGCCTGCTCCCAGAGACAACCATTGTGTGGGTAGCAGGGCTTTAGATTGGTAGGAGCTTGAAAGGAATGATGCTTAGCGAGCGTCTCGGAGAGTCACATTTGACATTTGGGAGCAGATCATTGCCATTTGTGTCTCCACAAAGGCTCAGTGTGGTACTTCATATATCATTTTAGTGAGAGCCTTTTGCAAAGAAGAAAAAAAACAGTCTACAAATTCGTGCAGACAGCTGAACATGACTTATTGTCGTGCACATCCTGCTCCTATTGTTTTTCCTGTTGAGTTGCCAGGCTGTCATTTTGAGTTACATTAGAATAGGTTGCTGCCACTACACAGGTCATCACAGGTAACCTAGGCAGCTGGTATCCAGGATCCTGTAACAGGGAGGACTGTGTGGCTGTAAAAATAAAAGTGGATACAGATTATATGGAAACCCGTTCTACTTGGATTCTTTTATTTTCCCTATTTTTTTTTTTGGCCTTTACTTTCATGAAGTTCATTACATGGTACTTTACAGAAGGCTTAATGTACTGGACTGCAAAATGTGTCCCAAAAGACTGTAATCGTAGCGGATGAGCTGCTCAAGGCAGATGAAGAATATTACAGTTCTGCCTCTTCAAGTCTTTGCTATCAATTACTTACTAAAGCATTTATAAACTATTTTAACTACCTATCTAAGACATGTCAAAACTCTAGATCTCTTAATCAGTACTCATTTAGTTTATAAATTTAGTGGCGTGCTTAGGGACACAGGCAGTGTAAATTTCTTTTGAGTGAGGAAGGTTTTGTCGTAGTTTGTGTTCCACACAGAGATGTCTGTTACTGCAATAATTTGATCCTGTGACAATTGTTGCATTTGGTTTTACTCCTGATGACCATTTTTGCACATTTGTTGTTGCTACCCTTATGCTTAAATAATTGATTAGATTTTTCTTTTCAGAATAAGATCATTCTACAACTGCAGAATCCTTTTTTACTTTGGAAATGCCCTTTTAAATAATGCCAGTCTCGCTGCTGAAATCTTAAAGATGAGGAATCCAGACCAGAACTGCATCCAGAATAGTCTCTGTCGTGTTTTTGGTAGTTTTATTGATAGCTCTCTATAAAAACTTTGAAGATAAAGATGATTGTCTGAAATCCATGTCATCACTAAATGGCCAACAATTAGAGTGTCTGGCTCAACAAGCTTTTAAATTTGAGGTGTTGTGGTTGATAGTCGCATTGTTTCTTTTCTTCTGTATCTCTAACCAGAAACATGTCATTTTTGGATGTTTTGTTTTTTTTCTTCTTTAGAAAAAGTCAAAGAAATCAACTGAAACTCTGACGTTTAAAAGGCCAGAGGGGATGCACAGAGAGGTCTACGCGCTGCTGTATTCAGATAAAAAGTATGGATATTCCTCTTTTGGTTTCTGCTATATTGAAACGCTGAAAAGAAACGAAGGAGTACATTTGTAAAGTTTGGGGTTATATTTTCGATGTGCATTTATGGTGCCTTGCAAAAGTCAGAGAGCAGGAGGTGCTTCTTTACACAAAGGGTTGTGGGTGTGTGGAACGAGGCAAAAAAAAGTCCAGTGGTCACAGCTGGAGATCTTCAGTGTCTGTGGAACTTGGGTCCCCATGTCACCTAATCAACATCTAGACAGGACATCCATGCCGAAAGGCTATTTAGAAGTGTTGCCGGAAGAAGGCCCTTACTGACGACAAGAACCATTGTTTTCTCATGCATGTTACTTCTGCTTTAAGGGAGCAGGATTTCATTTCAGATTTAATTTTGTTTTATTTTTTTTTAAAAGGGGATCCAATAATTTTGACGCATTTTTGAGAAAAAAAAACCTATTATTCATTTAAAAAAGGTTTGTTTTCAAATATTTGTGTTACAGTAAAAGCCTATAGTTTTCTCATTTTTGGTGAGCATAACATATAGCTCATTATCTGTGCTGTTTCTTATATACAGCTTTTTTTTGTTTGTCTTTATCCTGGGTGCCATTAATTCTTGAGCACGCTGTATATGACCTTATTTAGCGGGTGAAGCTGATCACGCCAGACTGGCTGTTCCTTTTGCTGCTCTGGGTGTTTTTGAGTCCTCATCTTTATTTAAGCGTATTTTAATTTTGAGATTCATGAGGATATCGGGTCCAGGGTGCCTTTTGTTGGCCAGTTAAGCCCTGGATCTCAAAATTCCCTGTTCAAGAGGGGTAAGAAGCCGTCTGACTTATGTAACCATTACTGTGGTTAAAAACTAGGCAGGAGATGAATATAGAAATACTCCCTGTAGTACACACACATGCAAGCAACTGCAATGTTTCCTTTCATTTGGGAAACTGCAGGGAAGGTGCTGACATTAAAAGCCCGAGCTGCTTTCAGAAAGGGTCTAGGTGTGTAACACCTCCTGCTGTGAACGGCTTCGAAATAAACTGCGGGGAACATTCTCCAGCAACATGTCTTCCTTTTTATTTCCTAGCGATGACAGGGAAATTGCTCAGTAGCACTGAAAACAAAGCAGGTTACTGAAGCTACCGAAATGGTTTGAATCTGAATAACAAAACCA